GTAATTAAAACTTTTGCACAAAAACACAAAACAGCTGAGTGGCATGTGGCAAGGTGGTAAGTATCATGTTGCAGCAGCATAACAAATGTGCTCTGGCTGGCCGCTGGCAGATGAAGCGACAAACAAATACGTCTCTCTCTCTCTCTCTCTCTCTCTCTCTCTCTCTCTCTTGCATTTCATGTTGCTGCCACATTATTTGGGTGGCAGCTGCCACCTGCCTTTAAATGAAGCAAGACACAATGCCGATTTCCACTGCTGTTGGCATTCGCAGTTTACATAAAATCTCATGTAGCCAATTTACGAATGGGACTGCAAATTTCAATCAGGCGACGCCTGCTTTGGCCCGATCTTGCGGCATGCTGCGGCACACAGCGGGACAGCAACTGTGGGGCAGCAGACTTATGACAAGTCGAGGCCACAGGCGGCGGCGACAGACACGCCCCTTCACGCCCAGCCGCACGTCGCGGCAGCTGAGATGCTGACAAGTCAAATGGGCGTCTAATTGGGAGGCAGCTTCAAGCGGCAAAGAGACAGAGAGAAAGAGAGACAGAGAGAGAGACAACTAAATGTTGTCGTCCAACTAATGCCACAATTTATCAGCGGCAAAGACCGCGCAGCAATAATTAAAATGAGAAAAAATGTAGAGTCAAATGACACGCGACAGCCAAGAAAACTTAGAGCAGGGAGAGAAGAGAGCGGGAGAGTTCGGGATAGTTCGGGTGGAGAGGAGGCTTCGGGTATTTGTAAGCAATTGTATATTAGCCACAAGTGAAATTCATAAGCAAATGCTAGGCGGCACGTAAGCTGTGCTAATATGCATACACTATACATGTGTGTGTGTGTGTGTGTTTGTGTGTTTGGCGGAAGTGCTGCGGCATGCTAAGGCGCCATAACCCCATGACGAATAATATCCGTGTGACTGTGCGTGGAATCGACAGAGCGGCTAACCCATTGAAAAACATAAAAAAAGCGAGCGAGGAGAGATTAAAAAGTATTTACAATGGTGAAAAAAAAAACAGGACACAAAGTAATCAATTGAGCTAGAGCAAGAAGCAACAATCCCATGCAAATGCATATAATGTTAGTCTTTGTCTCTCACTCTCTCTATTTTCTGCCCTCTTTAAGTTTCTCTACTATATCTCGATTCTGTTTCTGGGTTCGTCTCTGTTGCTTCTCACTTTCACGTCTTATATCTTTTTTATCGGAGCTCCTCCGTCAGTAGCTGTTGCCTTTTCTATCCTTTACCTCTCTTCGTCTATTCTTCACGCACTTTCTTCTTATTTATTTATCGTTTTCTTTCTTCTCTCCTTAACTATAGATCTTAATTTATCTTTCTCTTCGGCTCTATGTTCAGTCTATATTTCTGTATCTCTCTTTCTCTACGTCTTAAACTTTCTCACTTTTCTCATCTCTCCTCTGCATGTTTTATTCATTTCCTTCTTAGTGCCACATTTATATTTCTCTTTCTCTGCACATTTCACACACATTTCTTTTCTATTCCTATTCCTTTTCTAACTTTTGCTTATTTTACAAAATGTGAAGCCCCTCTCGTTCCACAAATTTATGCGCCAACTAATTTTTGCCCGCACAGCGCATAAAAATAGCTCACAGTAATAGCTTGGCTCGGGCTCTGGCTGTAGCTGCGGCTGTAACTGTGGCCAGAGCATGCTAAACATGCCCCACTCTCGAGTGGGGCTCAAAGCTGCGAGCTTAGCTGGCTCCGAGCAAGCCGGGGCCACGTGTGGAAGCGAGTCAAGCGAGTGCCTGAAGGATAACGCATTACAGCTTGCCACCACTTTGAGCTGCTTTAAATATTCGCATACACAAACAGCTGCTGTTGCAGCGGCAGGGGCGGGGGTAGGTGGCAGAGGGCAAGCGATGAACCCGTTACCTTTACTAGGCTCCTCCACTGTGTCAACATCTTTCTATCAATTTTGGCAAAAGCGGAAAACCATTTTTCATAAACCATCAGAGTGAATACGTGTGTGTGTGTGCGCGTGTGTGTGAGTGTATTTTTATTTTACTTATTACTTACGCATGTTTAGTGGCCAAGCGTTAGCGTGTGTGAGTATATATGAGTGTGTGCGTGTGTGCTCACAGGCACGCGACTCGGCACCAATACCAATGAACTATAATTTTTGAGGATTTCGTGATGGATGGGCGCCTCAGTTGCCTGCGCGTTGATTCGTTTGTTGCTGGTTACATCGACACATTTCGGAGGCGCCGCCGCCTGATGCTGCTGCCGCAACTCCTGTGTTTTCTCTTTCTTTTTCCCCTTGTAAAAACAAGCTTTGATTTGCTTTCAGCTTCATTCACTGCACATTACACTTTGCACACATATTCTCACACACTCTGGCACTAATTGCAATAGCTGCCCTTTTATCCTGCAGCTTTGGAACACACGCGAGATGAATTGAATGGCGCTTGGACTGAGCCCTATTTAGGCTGCGTAAGTCGCATGTAGAGCACAAAAGGCGCGCTCTTCACTTCGCTTTGCTTGGCAAACGCTCCGTTTTGCCGCGTTGCTGCGTCCGGCAACGTGGAGAGTTTTTGCGCAACTGAATTTTCGCTGAGAGCTTTTAGTCGCTCGCAGTAGGTCGGAAAGCTCACGAAATTTTGTGTGTTGCGCTCAGCGCAGCGACAATTGAGTGTGGTCGTAGTAGTAGTAGTAGGGCTCGTTGAGTTGTTATTTTTGTTTTCGTTTTCGTTTTGAATTTTTTTTGTGGGTGTCCATTGTGGGCGGCTCCTGTAAACAGGATAATAAATTGGCGGCTCAATAGGATGAGACAAAGCTCATACACTTCAAGTAGCCAAATAAATAGCTCTGTTTGCTGTGTGTGTACATATTATCGAATGTAACAAATGGCAATGGTAATGTACCTTAATATATGTGCCTATTTAATACGCATCTGTTATCATTCTATTTGCACTAACACCTGTCTAACCTGGGCTTAAATGTGCGTACTCTTTCAAGCAGCCACTTGAGCTTTGTGGCGGCGCCACTGCTTTGTGCATTCCACTCAGCCCAAGGGCTCTGCTCTTCTGCTCTGCTGCTCTACTGTTATGCTCTAACCGCGCTCTAATTCCCGCCGAGTGTAAATGTACCCAACATCAAGCGACTCAAAGTTTACAGTTATATCCTTCCAGCAAGCTCTGCTTAAAATATCTGCAGTCGTCCTCTCTTTCGTGCTGCTCTGGGCTGAGCGCTGAGCGCAGCTCGTGCTCTTCGTTGCGCTGTGCTCTTCTGATAACGGCAATCGGCAATTGCCGATCGTCTAGGCTCCCGGTAGCTCAGCGCTCGGCTAGTGCTGCCTTGGTCAGTCACACGGGAGTTGTGCAGCCGTTCGTTAGGTCTATTTGCCAGTCGATTGCTTCAGTGCCTTTTGAAAAATCATCTATACAAATTTTTTTTAAGAAAATAATCTAAGTATAACGGCTGTCACGCATGTTTTAAAAAAGAGCGGCAAATAGGAACGCTGAAAAATTCGCTGGAAAGAAGTAAAAGCTTTAACAAGTGCAAGAACAAAAGAAACACCGGTAAGTCCATGCTGTAATCGGCTGTGCGCTTTGTTAGACTATTTCTTGTGCGCCATTTAATCTGCGGCAACCGTTATCTCAGTGTGTAGGTGGGCGAGAGGAGCGCAATAGAGGACAACTCTGATGTTGGAGTTTAAGCACTCTCTCTTCCACTCTCTGTCTGTCTCACTCTCTCAACGTCGCAGTTAGTTTTTGCACTTTTCGCAATTTCTACTTTCGTTCTGACTGCATTGTTGCCTTACATTCCCATGCAGCTATCTCTTTCTCGCTTTGCCATCTAAATGCCTAGATCCATGTGTGCTTGACTACGTATGTGTGTGAGTATGAGTGACTTTGCGTTGTATATGCGTGTGCAGTCGTTGCTTTTGCATACAGYTTTCGATACACTTTGATCCCGCCAATACATTTTGATAATTTTATTATATTTGTTATTTAATTTGTATATATTTTTTTTTTTTGTTCATTTTTCATTAATTTTTTTCGCACTTTTTTTTTGTGTTGGACGATGCAATAAGCGCTATAAATATCAAATTAAACGCCATGCATATGTAAATGTTTATAATAAATATTTGTATTTGGAAATGATTTAGGCTCGAAATGCGCCAAATGCGAAATTGTTTCGTTGAGCATGCGAGTGAAATTTCGCAGATTAGAAATGAGTCTGTAGCACCGATGAACTATTAATATTTACCTATTATTCACACTAATTAACAGATTAGCTTAGCTATGAGTAGGCTTTACCCTATAATATATGTAGACTGTGAAAGGGTATACTCTTTTAGTCATTAAATGTGGCGTATTTTATAAAGCATATCTCGCTCTATATATAGAGCTATAGTTGCACCACAAGAGTATTACCACTCAGTAGCACTACTATTTTCATGGACCCATGTTTATGTAGGAGAGATTTTATCTTCATTATATTTACTATATATTTCTAAAGTATCTCATATATTTAGAATATATTAACTATATATTAAGAGTATTCTATAATCACATTTCCCTTATCACCAAGCTGGAGCCAACTATTCAGAGCATTCCCGGCTTTAGAACAAAGTTCAATTTGTTATACACATACAAGTCTAAATATATATACATATATATTACTTAATTTGTTTTGATTTTTGTTGTTAGTCACTGAGCCGGAAAGCTGAAGATCTCTACAGCTATTGATAGCTCCCATTAGTTTTGCCAGACAGCCAACAAATACAAAAACAAATACACAATAAAAGCAATAAATTTCTTTCTCTTTTTTTTTTTTCATTATTTGCATTTAAGTGTATGAAAAGTGCGATGCGACACGATGCTGCTGGCTGATAATGCGAATAGAAATATGAATATGAATATTCAATATATAGCGCATTGGCCATGAGCTGAGAGACGCGATGTCAGACGGTGTCAGTTATC